ATAAAGCCAGCTAGTGATGGTATATAAGCACTCGCATAATCATGATGACAAACTAACACCCATACCTTCATTCGGGAGGGGCATTCTGCCAATCCTCTGGGAGGTTCATGCTGGGATGCGGGCAGGCCGGACATTGCACTGCGCAGCTGCCAGTTGACGTAGTTGCCACTCCTCCAGGATCGTGGCCTCGGCCGAACCTTTTGAGCATCTTGAGGTGTCGCCATTGGCGAATCAACCTCATTAGTTCGGGATAACGATCCTGCATGAAACTGCGTGAGTAGACAAGTACCAGAGGTTCTGTTTACAGGTGCTTACCTTCGGAGTGTTCAAACCCGTGTTGTTGGTGCAGCACTCTAGTGCCATGTAGAACTGATATCCGGACACATTTGCCTGTGTCGAGAGCAGGTGGAATTGTTCGAGGAGTTGAAATGTGGCTGCAGTCTTGGGTCCTTTGTAGTTGCAGGGAATAGGCGAGCACGTAAGAGTTGTATGTCGTGGGGCTGCACAGACTCGCAGTTGCAGAAATCTAGCCCAACCTGATGAATACCCGATATGTCCAGAATAATGAAGTCGTCACCCCAAGCACGTTGGGGATTTGGGCAACGGTCGCCAGCTGGGTGGCCCACCTGGATGCGAAGGCCGATGTCTTTGAGAGTCTGTCGTCGAAAATGTGTCTGCATCCAAGCCTATACACGCACTGTCAGTTTTTGATGGAGTGGTATTTTGCAGACGTACCTTAAGTCAATGAAGTGGGTTACGTCTGTGCATCATAATAGTGCAAGCCTCACAATACAATGCCAAATCGTCGCAGTCAAGGCACCGGATCTCAGCCTTGTGATCGCCACAGCGTGGACAATTCTCAGCTAAGAATCTGCAGTGACCCTCATGACGCAAGAGCTCTGCTAACCAGTCGTCTTGATGTGGCATCCATTCACGAAGGGGGTGGTCCTAGCATCAACGTTGTCAGTGCACTTGGCGAAAGACAATGATCCTGCTGACTTACACCAGCAGTATGGTGGCGCCGTTTTTGAGTCTCGTCCATTTCGGATAGCTCATGTATGTAGTCCACATTCACATTTGCTTGTTCAGGCTCTTACAATGTCGACTCGGAAGTAGTGCTGGTAATGGGCGACGGAGGGGTCTCCGAGTGAATTCCATTCGTAGCAATGAAGGATGTATGCGCTGAGAGGCCGTGTGCCTGTGAAACATATTCAATGTGCCTGCTGGAATCTTGAGGAGGGCCTCACGAGCGTGAATCCTTCTCCTCATCAGAATCAGCATAGTAGTCTACTCCATGAACATGCTGGTGACGGCGACACTTTGATGACATGTTGGCGAGCCAAGCCTGAGCGCGATGGAATACTCCTAAGTAGGACAGAGTGACAAAAATGATGGAAGGTCAGTGTTAAATGCCTCGACCATGTGTAAGGAGTGAGATATGATAGGCCGCCCCTTACATGAAAACGTGGGCCAATGTCAACGTTTTATACATTCGTTAATACAGGTGCATCTACCGCATTACACTGGAGCACAGTTATGGACAGTCTGCCCATCGTCCAAGGCTGTATGGCATCAGCGATGTGTGCAAGCATAGTCTCCCACTCCAAGGCAGCATGGCACGGGCATAGCCATCCTGTCTGAGGTGGCATGGTGTCGGTGAAATGAACGGACATGGTCTCCCCCTCTAAACTGCATGGTACGGTCATATTCTCCCCGTCTGAGGTAGCAAAGCATCGGCAACACATTACAGACATGGTTTCCCCATCTGAACTGCATAGCACGAACATATTCTCCCCATCCGATGCACATGGTGTTGGCAGTGCACATGGATATCGATCTACACCCATCTATATCCCATCTTCGCCTGCCTATATCCCATCCACTAGCACATATCTGCGACTGGACGACTTAAAAAAGTACTCACTAATGTCCAACATAGCATGCCAATACAGCGCTGTGTCCAACCTGGCATGCCAATCTGCCACTGTGATAAAACTCAAGATTCTTTAGTGAACGACGAGAAGTTTTGAGGACGTTCACTCACCCATGCCCTCTAGCAGCCATTATGCTTCCTCACTGATGGTGCCGAAGCCTGTGATCATGCAAAGCATTCATCGAAAGTGAGTTACTGGGATGATAATCATACAGGCTTACCGGGACATATAACATTGCATGAGTATATGCAGCATGAAGCAGCGAGAAGAGAGAGGGGGAGAAGGTTGGGTGACGAGATGAAGATGGCCAGCACCGGGTATAACCTGGAGAAACTCTAACTCTAATTCGAACTCCGCTCCGAGGGAGTGCATTCAATAAAATCTCGGATCTCACGAAGCTCACGTGCCCTTACTGCGGATGCACCAGCCAATCAACGATGAGAAAGCGACCATGCTGATTCTCAATCACATAGCTCACCGCCATTGCAGACAGCGTCAGCAACCATTTCTTTGCAGCTAGAATGCTTGGAATAAAGCATGGAGGTGTGTACTTAATTATGATAATAAATTTGGGTTGTCCGAGAGCAGTGTAGCCTGAAAGCCCACCGGCTATGCACAAGATTGCCACTTTAGTACCATA